AGTTAACTTATTGCAAGCATATGGCACTGCCGTGCGGACAAGCAATCGAGAGGCGAGAAGCGAGGCATGCCAGCGGGCAAAGGCAGCCCGGCTTACCATCCGTGTCGAATGCAGTGCCCGTTGCCAGCTTGATCATGACATCTGCCTGTAACTGAGAGATAACACCTTCTGCCTTCCACAGGTCTATTGCCAAAGCCAGAAACTTGCTGAAATCAATGCCTGCTTTGCCCAGCTCGCCCTTCAGCCGCGACCGCTCGGAGCGGCTGCCGGCGGCGGCGCACCGCTCAGTGAAGAAGTCCTTGAACTCCTCCCAGAACACGATGGAATGGCAAAAGAACTTGATCTCGTGGGAGTAGCCTGACTGAACGGCGATGGCGACGCGCGCCTGTGGATGTGCTTCACAAAACCTTTCCCACGAGTTGAAGCGCGACTTCAGCTGCTTAGCTTGGTTAGCTGCACCGCTCAATAGCGGCGTTGGACCTAGAGCCTTGCTGCCGGACTGGGCACCATGCTCATGTGTGCTCATGGGGGTTGAGTTCGTTGGAAAAGCGTATTACGGTTGCTGGGATGCCAACAGAACAAACGGGAGGGAGAATGATGCATGATTGAGGATGATGTCCCCAATGACCCTCCAGGTGGGGGGCCATCATGCCCATCATGGGGCACATCCTTACCGGGAGGCCTACCTGGGAATTTGGCCTCGACGAGCACTCGATACCACCATTGTGCTTGCACGCACGCAAGGCCGATGGCCGTTCGGAGGAGCTGGCATATTTGGGGTTTTTGAGTGCTCAACAGGGTCCTGCATTGCAATTCGATTACGAGTTGACTGTGCAGTGGCCCAGGAAAAGTCCTAAAGGCTTAAAGCCCCATCGGTAGCCATATGCATTAGCAGTAGCGACGCCCTGCCGGGCCAGCGGGATGTCCAGGAAGGTGGAGGAGTTGATTCTGACGGTGTGCCGCAAGCACCCGGAGGTGAGCGCCCTCTGCCACCGCTGCCTCCAGGCGCTGCCGCCACCGTGCCTGAACTTCTCGCCGCCACCACCTGGGGCAGGGGGTGCAAGACACGGCCCTTGAGGCGGAGCTGCCGAGTGTGGCGGTGAACGACCGCGCTGTGGCCATCAACTCGCTGCTGGCCTCGCTCAAGCTGCAGGCAGGTGGCGTGGCATTGTTTGACGGTGTTGCTGGTTGCGGCTGTGCCGTTGTGATGCGCATTTCTGGTTGCTCCCCATTTGATCACATCAAGACCTTGGCACTGCAGATCCTGGTCAACCCTGCCGATCCCAGCAGCCACATCTACAAGGCCAGCGCGGTGGGAGATGCGACTCGGTGCGTGGCGCCGCCGGCAGTAAAAACAACGGCAGCCTGGCAAAGTCCAGCTGGTCACGGCGCCCAATGCTGCTGCAGATTCAAGGGCCTGACCGCCGAGGACATGCTGGTGTACCAGTGCATCCAGGGCGCGGGCAACATGGGTGCGCAAGGCGGGGAGACTGTGCTGTGCTGCTCGGGCAGAATAGCAGGTTGCGATACGTGATGCCATGATGCCATTACATGTGTTGAACATCTAATTAACTCTTTCATCATGTGTGTCAGGCATCTGGACGCGCGACATGAAGCAGCGCACCAACCTGCAGCAGGTGCTTTGCGTGGTTCCTTTCCCTGGTTGTCGCATTCCCTGTCTTGGTTGTTTCGGTTAATGAGCAAAGCGCTTGCTGGTGCTGTGCAGCCCAAGATCAACAAGATTTTGAAGACCCTGGAGGAGCGCTGCCTGGTGAAGAGCATCAAAAGCGTGCAGAATGCAAGCCGAAAGGCAAGCCTCTGCTTGGGCCGTGGCACGTTTGGAACCCAGGTTGGGACACGTTGTAAACGCCCTTCTTGTGCCCTCTCGGAACCACTGCAGGTGTACATGCTGTATGAGCTGGAGCCCGCCAAGGAGCTGACAGGCGGCCCCTGGTATGGCCCTGATGCTTTTGACTCGGAATTCATCACGGTGCTGCAAGAGGTGCGCTGGGCATAGGGACCTCGTGAAGCTTGCTGCATTGCAGTTACCGCTTCGCTTCGTGTGAACTTCTGCAGTACCTTGCCTCATGCGGCGCAGGCCACTATGAGCTACATCAATACCAAGGGCGACGCCACGCTCGCAGACATTGTCAGGTTCATCAAGGAAACGGTGCGGGGCCAACATGTTCTGGGTGGCATTCAGGTTCTGGTTGCCAATAATCGCTGCCAGGTTTCACTCGTTATGTGCAGGGCATCAGCAAGCAGGCGCTCCAGGAGGATGATGTGGAACGCATCATCAACGTCAGTGCTCTGTGGACAGTCATGCCAGTCGTGCCTTTTGTTGAACCGGACATTTTCGGTGTTCACATTCACGCTCGGCGTGCTTCCCCATCTTGCAGACGCTAGAATGTGATGGCAAGATTGAGGGTGTGGAGGGCGATGAGGATGGCCTGCCGCACTACCGCCTGGTGAGCCCGCCAGCGCTGGTTAGGCAGCATGGCATCACCTTGCTTGGCGCTAAACTCGTGACGAGGGATTTGCCCATGCTGTCATTGCAGCCTCTCATGAGCATCCCAGAGGCCACCCCCTTCACCTCGATACCATGCGGAGTTTGCCCAGGCAAGCCACTATGCTCGCCTGCACAGCTCTTTCCCCCTTGTTATTGTGTGTGTGCCTTGTTCCTTGGGTGCTGCCTCACTGGATCGTCCTTTGCTCAACTCCCTCTTCTACAGTCTTCAACGAGTGCGTGGAGGGCGGGAAGATTAGCCCGCAGACGTGCATCTACTTTGACCAATGGCTCGACTTCTGACACCATTTCTATGCTCTAAGAAAGACCAATGACAAGACAATGGCGAGGACACAAATCCCCCATGAACGCCCTAAAGCGCTCACGCATGCTGCGCTGCAAAGGTCGCCATAAAACTTGAGAGCTGCTGCACCCCGCCAAGGGGCATGCTGTTATAGATGGAGGCGCGCATGCCACCCACGCTGCGGTGGCCCTTGAGCTGAATCTGCAGGCAGATCAAACAAGGTGCTCAGATCCAACACCGCTGTCAGCCGTCAATTGACACATGCTACTAGCTGGCGTGCCTCACCATGCCAAGTTTGGCTGCCTGGCTGATGAACTCCTTCTCCAGGTCGGGGTTGGAGGGAATAGTGAAGGGCACGTTCATTTGGGAGCGCGCCGCTGCAGGTCAAGGTGCAAGAGGTTGGCATCGGGGGCAGAATCTGGCCAATTGTCAGTAGTTGGGCTTGTTTCCTGCAGCGAGGCTATGTTGGCCAGTGGAACAGAAGTCCATCGTGCTGAACCGCAACCCTGACGCTACCTGGGTCCACGGGGCTGTTGTAGAAACCGTTGCTGCTGGCAATCGCGTCATACAGCACCTTGGCTTTCTGCAAGGATGGGCACCATGGTTTTCAAACCCCAACCGAGTCCAGACACTGATCCAGAGCCCTGTCCAGGGTCACCTTTTCGTTCGCCTGCTGCATTGCCATCAGGCCACCGTCGCGGCGCATCTTGGCAAACATCAGGCCGCACATGTAGATGGCCCAGCAGGGTGGCGTGTTGTACATGCTCTTATCTCCCGCCTGCACGTGGTAGTCGAGCATCACGGGAGTGATGGGCCTGCAGCACGGGTGGCACCAAGGAAAGGTGCTCGTGGCTGCAGGTGAATGGCCGACGATCACAAAAATGTGGTGTGTGTGTCCACGGCATCAAGTGCCCTGCCGCCCCCAAACCCCACCCACCACCACACACACGCATGCTGTACAACACCCGCCACCCCGAGCTGCTCTCGTCTCGTACCGTGCATTGCCAATGAGGTCATCTCGCACGATGACAATGGTGACGCCTGCAGGGCCAATGTTCTTCTGCGCACCGGCATAAATCAGGCCGTATTTGCTGACATCCACCGGCTTGCTGCAAAAGTTGCTGCTCATGTCGGACACCAGCACCTTCTCGCCTACTGCAGGCACCGCCTGCAACGGTCGCGCGAAAGCAGTTGGTGTAAGATCCAGGTGCATAGGCGGCACAATCCTGCTCTCCGAGATCATGCACCTTGAACTCCACGCCCTGAATGGTCTCATTGTCGCAGTAGTGCACATACTTTGCATCTGCATTGAGCAGACAGATGAGAGGTGTGGTGTTGTTTGGTCTGGTCTTGTTTGGGGAGTGGGGTGGGTGGATGGAACGTCCTCCGTTCCCTACCTGGGCTGAGGTTCCAGGCGCTGGGGTCGGGCACGCTCTTGTTATCGCCAGTAGCCGCCACATTCACCTTGGCGTACTTCTTGGCCTCTGCAGCGGATGTGAGTCTGAGTCGGGAAGATGCAGGAACAAGGCGGGACAAAGAACAGCAGCGAAACGATGGCCATACTACCCGCGTTCACCTCCTGCTGCCTTCTTGGACCAGCTGCCAGTCACAATGTAGTCCACCGTGTCACCATCAGCAGCCAGGTTCAGAGGGATTGCAGAAAACTGGGTGGACGCGCCGCCCTGCACGCACAGAAAAACAACATTCGCTGGGCAAGGGATTTGCTGCGGTCCACGGCTGCCACCCCCAGCCACCACTCCTACAACGTCGCCTGCTCCCTGGCGCTCTCGCCTGCATGAAAAGCACTTGGTAGTTGTCAGGAATAGCCAGCAGCGCCCGCAAGTCGGCCTCCGCGGTGTCGATGATGCTCTGGAACTCCTTCCCCCGGTGGCTCATCTCCATGACGCTCATGCCTGCCAGGCAGGGTGGGCAGCAGTGGCGATTGAGCAGGCAACTGAACTACATGCTCCACGCACTGCTGGAACCTGCCTTGACAGCTGCCTGCTGGAAGGAGCAAAACACAATCCACAAGACTCACCGCTGCCGCGCCAGTTCAGCAGGTCTGCCTGCGCCTGCTCCAGCACCTCGACAGGCAGCACCGCAGGGCCGGCGGAGAAGTTGAAGACGCGGTCATATGGCTGTGCGGGGCCAGACGGCGGCAGGCCTGCCGTGCCCGCCTGCTCCACAAGCACCGCGCTGACTGCAACCTGCAGCGGGGCGGTGGTGACGGCGGCAGCGTGCTGGTTGCAGGGGCTTCGTCGGCCACCCTCCCAGACCCAGCCACCCGAAAAATAACGGTTCGAGGGGTGCGGACGCTGGATGCTCTTGGGTTGGCTCGTTATGCCATGTGCTCCCTGCTTGCACACACCTGCCTCCTGCTCCCAACATGCTGCGCGGCGCGCTTGTGCTGCACCCGGGCGCCCGGCAGCGCCGGTGTGCCTGCGCGGAGAGCCATCACCATACTGCTGCGCTTCACCTAATACTCCTTCAGCAGTAGAAGAGAAAAGTATCACGCACGGGTGACTAAGAAGAAGAAGAAGAATGGCACAGGGTGCTACAGGTCCACAAAGCGCTCATGTCGTCGGCGGCTGCCAGGTGTCCCACCGGTGTTGCTGCTGCTCATCACAGCCTTCCCAGTCCACCACAAGGCCGGTAGCAAGCACCTGCTTTGCCCCACGGCGACGGAAGCACTCGCTCAGCGACACATGCTCGCAACCGCCATTGGGGTCGTGGCGGCAGCCCCGGACTGGCGCTGGCGCCATCGGGGCAGGGCGCTCGGCCTCGCTGCCTTCGCCGCCGCTGCTGCTGCTGCGTTCAAACTTCCCGCTGAGATTGCTACTGATGCTCTCCTCGCTGCCATTGGCATCCCGGAAAAGCTCCGCAGCGTACCTGTGCACAAAAATTGAAAACAACTTAGTTCTGCACATGCTGAGATACGCATTGGCCACCAACAGCACGCTTACATGGCCCAGCCACCAAAAGCGGCCTGCACGGGTACCACCGACACGCCGCCAACAGTCTTGCACTCAAAGCTGCGAGCGCTTTTGGGCCGCATGTAATTCAGAGTGCAGCTGCCCGGGAACAACCAAACCATGCTGTCCTCCTGCATGACATGCTGCACCCCGTGGCTGTCGCGTAGAGCAAGGAGATCACAGTAGACCGGAAGGCTGCCGTTTGTAAAGGGCGGTGTCTCATAGCCCACTGTGCCCATGTCATTCATGTACCTGAAGATTGTGTAGGGTGCATGGCATGCGGGATGGGCATAATGAGAACATAAAAAACGGTCCACTGGGCGAATCAGCAGTGTTCCGATGGAGCATCTCAAGCCGCCAGCTGCTGTGCCTCGCGGAGCTCACCAGCCACAGGCGCCATTTGCGTAGAGCACGTCCCAGTCGGCGCCGCGGTAGGGGAGAAGGGCATCGATGATATGCAAATGATCCTCGACACGCCACGGGAAGCACATGTCAGTGTCCACGGCAATCAGATAATCCACGTGAGGTGGAATTATTTCAAGGTACTTATTTCTCGCTACTGCTAGTAAGGACAAGTCTTTCTTGCCTTTCTCTGCCGAAAAGGATATCAGATGGACAGAGCGTCTGCTGGGATCCTGTGCCGTGTAGTTTGCAGCCCAGCGCTTCCAGACGCTCGCGGTGCCGTCCCGGGAGTCGTTCTCCACCAGCACGACATGCGCCGTCGCAAACTTGTCGGCTAGCCGCTCAACATTCCGAAGCACCCAGGGCAGCTCGTCCGCGACATCGCGCCCGATCATAGCCAGCATAACATGCAAGGTAGATGCAGATGCTTTTGCTGCACCAGCAAAGAGGAGTGTGGTGGGTGGCGGGGACAATGGCAAAAAATGGATGGGCGGCGCAATCCATGCACGCAGCAATGCAGGCAGCACTAGTATCATGCAGTGGATTAGACCCATGTGGTGAGCAATAGCAAGATTCTTGGTCAACACAAACCTTGCACACGTTGCCGCCCTCGCTCCGCCCGTCCCGCCGCCCGCTGTCCCCGAGAGCTCCAGGCGGCTAGAACCAGCAGCATTCCCATTCCCACGGCTGTTGTTGTGGCTCCATGGCAAGGCAGCCACCTGGGGCGGCGAGAGCGGGGAAGTGCAAAGGGGGCCCTCGCCATTGTTCGTGGTCATTGCTTGTTCAAGCAATGGCAGGGCAAGCAATTCCCAACTGATCTTGTGCCTCGGCATCATTGAAGTAAAATTTTAGGATGGCTTTGGAATCCAGCTCAGCATGCTGTTGCAGCTCAAAAACATTACAATGTGCATGCACAGCCAAAAGTGCATGCACAACTATCATTGACGGCGCAGGCTCGAGCGGACCGGCCGCGCTCTGCTTGCCCGAGCAACAAGCAGCATGTCAGGCGGCTTCGCGAAAAAGTTGAAGAATAAGCAGTCCCGTGTGTCAGTGCAAGGTGGGCGTCCCGTGCTAGGCGGACTTGGCTCCGCTGCAGGCATGCCGCTGTGAGACACACTGGTGTGCTCTGCAGGGCCCACGGCAGCACCAGAACACTCCAAGGAGGAGAATGGCCAAGAGGAGCAGCACACGCAGAAGAAGCGCAAGCTGCAGGCGGGAGCGGCAGCTGTGCCTGCCGCCGCCGCCACCGCTGCAGTAGCCAAAGCAGCAGCGGGCGATGATGGTGAGCGGGACAACCAGCCTTCGCAGAAGAAGCAGAAGGGGCACGTTGGGCTGGAGGTGGAGCACCAAACCGCGACTGTCAGCGGCATCATGTCGTCTCAGGTGCGTCCACTCGGCGGTGGCAGCACACCTTTTCGGGGCTGCCCCAAAGCTAACAGCTGTATTCCTCCGCCGCTGCTCCAGACTTTTGACCAGTTGGACTTGGCGGAGTCCACCAAGCGGGGCATTCAAGAGCTGGGATTTGTAAACATGACAGAGGTGCAGGCACGCACCATCCCGCAGCTGCTGGTGGGCCGCGACGTGCTTGGAGCCGCCAAAACAGGTGTGGGGTCCCCTGGCGTGTGGCATGTCGAGAGGCTGCACTTGATGTGATGAACCGCAGCTGTGCATCTATTTGGGCGCTAGCTCATCCTGCCGTGCCGCCATCGCCGATGCAGGGTCGGGCAAGACGCTCGCCTTCCTCATACCATGCGTGGAACTGCTTTACCGTGCCAAGTTCATGCCGCGCAACGGGACCGGCGCTGTTGTCATCCTGCCAACCCGCGAGCTGGCGCTGCAGATCTACAACGTGGCGCGCGATGTGATGCAGCACCACACGCAAACACATGGTGCGACACTGCGCGGGGGGGATGCTCATGCCGGCTACATGCTGATTGACCTGGTCCACCGTAGGTACAGCAGGTACATGGACAGCTATTCTAGCTGTCCATGAAGCAGTGAACCTCGACAACATTTAATGAGTCGACTTTACTACCAGTGGCGCGGCCCTCGTGTTCCTGCACAAGTGCAGGCTTGGTGATGGGCGGTGCCAATCGACGTGCCGAGGCCGAGAAGCTGGTCAAGGGCGTCAACCTGCTGGTCTCCACACCTGGCCGCCTGCTGGACCACCTGCAAAATACCAAGGGCTTTGTGTACCGCAACCTGGCCTGCCTGGTGAGGTGCTGGGGGTATGGGGCGAGATGCATGCCTGCTGGGGCTGGTGGGGCTTGATGCATGCTCGCTGTGTTGTCTGCACTGTCGCCTTGTCTGCCTTGTTGCATAGCACCCGTTCTGCCTTATGCGTAGGTGATTGATGAGGCGGATCGCATCTTGGAGATTGGGTTCGAAGAGGAGATGCGGCAGATTGTCAAGATCCTGCCCAAGGACCGCCAGACCATGCTGTTCAGCGCGACACAAACTACAAAGGTGAGGGCAAAAGCAAACCTGGTGGGGGATTAGACTGATGTGACTCATCGAACACGTCTGATGTTGCAGGTTGAGGACCTGGCACGGTTGTCCTTTAAGCGCAAACCACTGTACGTCGGCATAGACGACACTAAAGCCGTGGCCACCCGAGAGGGGCTGGAGCAGGTGTGCCCATTGTGGCAGCGGACTGCTGTGGGCAGTATCAGTCGCCTACTACCAGCGGTCAAGCCATTGCATTTGTGTCTAGTTCAATGGAAATTGCTACTGTCGCTTGCTACTGTCGCAGGGCTACTGCGTGGTGCCTGCCGACAAGCGTTTCCTGCTGCTTTTCACATTTTTGAAGAAGAATGCCAGCAAGAAGGTGCGGTCCGCTTGTATCTTGATGGGTTTTGCAAGCCACATGCCGCATAGGGCTAGTTGCGATATCGCGATGGCTGTTATGTGATGCAGGTGATGGTTTTCTTCAGCAGCTGTAACAGCGTCAAATTCCATAGCGAGCTCCTCAACTACATTGACATTCCCGTCAAGGCCATCCACGGCAAGCAGAAGCAGGCGAAGCGCACCACCACGTTCTTTGAGTTTTGCCAGGTGACCACTGCCAGCATCACGCAGTAAATGTGTGTGGGGGGTTGGGGGGTGTAGGGGATCATTGCATGCTCAGAGTTTGTTAATGCATCACGAGCGTGGTTGATCCCCTTTTCCAACTCTCTGTGCAGGCAGACAGTGGCATCCTGTTGTGCACGGACGTGGCGGCACGCGGCTTGGACATCCCCGCAGTAGACTGGATCATCCAGGTGGGCATTGGTAGCAGATCTTTCTAGTGGCATGACTACCAGAGGTCTGCGTCTTTGATCCTTGCGCGATTGCTCCCCAGCACTCCTCTTGTGTTCTGTGCTTTTTGCAGTACGATCCACCTGATGATCCCAAAGAGTACATCCACCGTGTGGGCCGGTCAGTGTCATATCCTTGTGGGCAGTCGGCTTGCACCGCGCTAGTTCTCTCATGCATCCCTGTCTAATCCATGTTGCCCTTGGGTGATTCGTGGATAATGCGGTGCAGTACAGCACGCGGGCGCAGCGGACGCGGCCGTGCGCTACTCATGCTGCTGCCTGAGGAGCTGAGTTTCCTCAAGTACCTCAAGGTACTGGCTTGCCAGCCGAAGGCATCAAAATGAACTGTGCGCACCTCATCCCTGTCCTTCTTCACTTCAGCCTTGGCATATCGTTCCATTTGGCGGGGAATGCAGGCGGCCAAGGTGCCCCTGAACGAGTACGAATTCCCCACCAGCAAGCTGAGCAATGTGCAGAGCCAGCTAGAGAAGTTGGTGGAGAAGAACTACTACCTGCACCAGAGCGCAAAGGAAGCTTTTAGGTGCGCAGCAAGAACGGCTTTAACGTTGCGGTGTCCCTGCACATTCCATCGCCACAGCCCATGTCCCACTGCCTGTGCCACAGGTCGTACATTCTGGCCTACAACTCGCACCACCTCAAGGACACATTCAACATACACTCACTGGACCTCAAGGCCGTGGCCAGAAGTTTTGGCTTCTCCTCTCCGCCACGCGTGAACATCAACCTAGAGAGCAAGGCCGCACACACGCGCAAGGCGCAGAAGGCAGGGCACGGCGCCGACTACCGGCGCATGAAGTCGGGTGGGTGGTAGGTGGAGGACAGGGTGCATCAGCCATTTTAAACTTCTACAAACAGCCAACAAAGATATTTGTGCACCCTGCCAAGCTGCAGGCCACAAGTTCAGCGCTTCAAACCCGTATGGCAAGGTTCAGGAAGCAGACACGCGCCAATTTGTGCGTGTGTGAATCAGGGCTTTACTGAATCTCTCACAAGGATTTGTAAAACTGCTTCACAAACTGCTGTTTACTCTTCTTCTGGCAATATTAAGGAGAGCAACTGTGTGGCCTCTACCTGGCCCGGCCAGCCATCTCCAGCTTCTTGAGCGCACCACGAGCCTCCGTCACTGCTGCTGCCTCCACCTTCTCCTGCTGCTTCAGCCCCTCCACCTCCTGCAGCGCCGAAGCGGCCGCCGCCGTCACCTGGTTAATCAGATCACGGGCCTCGCTTGCCTTCTTCAGTACAGCTGCTGCTGATTTCTCCGCATCCCTGTAGGAGGGCAGGAGCGTGCACATGGTGGTGGTGGGCCAGGTGGCATGCTGATTGTAATAATTTTGAAGGAGGTCAGGTGAGACAATAACAAAACACTTTTTTAAGCAGCACTCACTTGGCGGTAGCCACTGCTGCCTTGGCCTCATCTGCTGCCTCAGATGCTTCTCCCTGCAGCTGCGCCAGCTGTTTGCGAGCCGCCTCCTTGAGCTCCGCAACACGGGCACGCTCCGCCTCTCTGCACAACAAGCAAGCGATGGGGCAGTTTGTAGGCAGGAAGATGACTTCGGACGAAAGCTGTGCGAGACCTTCTAGGGAAGGGCCGGGGGCAGCACACACTCACAGCTGTGCCTGGCGGGCGCGGCGCTCCTCCTCGGCAGCCGCTTTTGCTGCCGCTGCCGCCTCACGGGCGGCCCGCCGCTCCTCCTCGGCAGCCTCACGAGCAGCACGGCGCTCCTCCTCGACAGCTGCCCTGGCAGCGGCACGCTCCGCTGCAACCTCTTCACGCGTCTTGCGTGCGGTGGCCGAGCTGCCAGTGCCGCCGCGGCCAACAGTGCCCGTGCCACGGCCAACTGTGCCGGTGCCACCCTTCTGCTGCGCATACCGCTTCTCGGCAATGGTGGCCAGGCTGTCCTTGCGGCCCAGCAGCTGGGTGCCCAACATGCTGCGGCGCGCGGGTGGCGCGTCCTCCTGTTCCTCCTGCACCGCCGCCTTCATCTTGCGGGTGCCGAAGGCAAGCGCCCCACGCTTGGGGACCTCCTCTTCCTGCACTCGGCCGTGCAAAAATGCACACCCAGCTGTATGCAGCAGGTGCGGGACTGATGGCAAGGCTGGCGTTGACGCCTGCCCATGCAGCTACACTGGCGCACCTCCTCTTCCGCCTCCTCCTCCACCAGCCGCCGGAAGACGTAGAAGCTGGGTACTGCGCCTTCGTTGTCCTCGGGGGGAATGGCGCGTGCCACCCTGCCAAACAAACCCATCAACTTCAATCGTGTTGGTAAAGGCAGGATGGCGCTACCAATCTCATGGCTTGCCCCACCTTATGCGGTCGTCCAGGTAGGCAATCTGAATAATGCGCCGGGGGGGGCCACCCTTGACCTTGCCGTCCAACTCAGGGAAGACAATCTGCAGACAGAACTCAGCGCCTCTGTGCGGCAGCATATTAATTTGCAGCAGGTGCTGGTGTCGTTGCTGCCTCATCAAGGCCCTGCAATGTGCGCGCACAGGCATCGCCTGCCCATTATCCTGCCCCTGGAAGGTGTAAGCGTTGATGGGGGTGAACTCCCCCCCCTGACGGGCGCTCCCGGGAATGAACCCAAGCCCCTTGTAAAAAACCTCCAGGAGGCAAGCCGCGCCCTGTGAGCTGACGTTTACAAAAGCTGTGTTTTTTTTTTTTTTGGGGGGGGGGGGGGGGGCTACCTCATTGATGCACACGTTTGGCTCCCGCAGGCTTTGCAGGGCACGCTGGCCAGGGAAGACAGCGCGGCCCAGCGGGGAACGAAACGGTCCTCCTGCTGTTTCAGGCTTGGAGGCATACAGAACCTGTGGCAGTGGGAACATGGTGGCAGCAGATGTGCGACTTCAGATGGATGCACCCTGGCATTCATCACACTTTTCCGGAGGTGAGGCAGCCCACCTCATAGTCACCGAACAGCAGCGTCGAGCGGAGGGGGTTGCGGGGGCAGAAGCCCTCCAGCTCCTCCACCAGCTCCTCAATTTGCTGGCGCTTGGCAGCTGAGGCATTCAGCCCACCATCGGTGCGCTCTGCCAGCTCGAGCAGCTGGCTCACCAGCTCCTGCGGGCCGGGGGGCACGTGGGTAGTTCAATCCCACCCACCATGCTGAGCGTAATGTCTGTATCGATGCCCACCTGGGCTTTGCTAGGGCTGGACTTGGGCTTGGCGGGGGCCAGGAAGCCAAACAGGGCCTGCGTGCGGACGGGCCTTGGAACACCTGGGTGCGGCCGCCGCCCCTCGCTGCGGCGGCTGGCGGAGGTGGCAGCGGGGCCGCCGCGCTGCTGCAGCGGCTGTCCCGCACGGGCAGCGGTGGCCGACAGCAGCATTGTGGGAGCAAGCTCGTTGCAAGGGGTCTGGGTGCCAAAGGGGTCTGCTCGCTGCTCACACTGGCCGCGTTAGCCGCCAGAGCCAGGAGTTCCAACAGGGTGGAACAGGAGAATGCCAGGGCTCGGAACTGCTTCCAGGCTCGCTCGCGAGGTAATCCGCAGCGATCGCGCCGTACAAATGGAGTACTGCCCGGAGCTGCGATGCTCCGAATGAATAGGAGGCTATTGATCGAAAGTGGGCTGTCAGTGATCGAAGCTGTGCAGAACAAGCTGCGTGCTGCCCGCGTAGAGGCACCAGGCATTGGCAAGAGCCATGAGCGAGTCTCAGCACCGAGCTGGTAGGGCTGGTGCACGCGATCACTTTATGGACTGCCGGCCAGCCCGAAGGCAGATGCGCGCCACTTCCCGCCGTTGCCTGTTTTAAAATGCAACTGGGGAGCGGAGCCGCCGTTCGCCCAGCGATTCCCCGGGTACATAACAGGGTCTGACCACCCCTCCGGAACGCGCCAATCATGTGCAGGCCCGGCGCCCAGCCCCTGCCCCAGCGCCGCGCACACGGCCAGCCGCTCCCAGCAGCAGCAGCAGCAGACGCCTGGCGCGTCGGTGATGCACACGCCCGGCAGCCTGGCGCTTAACGCGTCGCTGGGCATGCCCAGCACCGCTGTGCGTGGCGCGCTCGGCAGCCAGCCCACGCCCGCCACGCTGCGGCGCCCCGACCTGGGCCACTACGTCGGCTTCCGCATGCCGCCCAACTCGGCCGGGCGCCGCAGCAGCCTGGCGCCCACGGTGTGAACACAGGCGATGTGCTGCGCAAATGCAGCGGGTTGGAGCAAGTGCAGAGTGGATGCACACAGAGCTGGCGGATGGACATGCATGATCTGGCTGCTGGCTGCTGCAGGACTCGGTGCCCATCTCATCCAACGACATGGACGGGGACGCCGACCAGACGTTCATCTGGGGCACCAACCTGTCGGGTGCGCAAGCAGGATGCGGACAGCAGCAGTGCGTGGCCACGGCGGCCTGGTGCTCCGCTGGGCATCTGCCACAGCAGCTGCAGACAGCCAAGATTGCATGAGCACCCGTGCTTGCTGCCACCCAACGCGTTCCTTGTGTCACTGTGCCGCAGTGAGCCGCGTCCAGGCACGCTTCAACGCCTTCATCCATACCTTCAAAGAGCTCGGCACTGACGAGGACTACAAATACATGCAGCTGCTGCAAGAGGTGCGAGCACGGGATGTGTGCCCGTGCTTTGTGCATTGCAGAGCTGTTTAACGCCAAGGCATGAGATCAGTGGTCCACCCCATGTTTCTGTTCGTGCTGCTTTTTGAGGCTGTGAGTATGCTGCGCACTGTGGCTGTAGACACGGGCCCGTGGCGAGGTCAGCTTCAACATTGATGGTAATCACATGTACGAGTTTGACCGCACGCTGTACACCTGGGCCATCACCTACCCGGCAGAGACAGGTATTGTTGGTTGCTGACAGCTGCCTAGAGGACGCGAAGGGCGCCCACATCTGGATGCCAAAATTGCCGTCGCACTCACGTCGCCTGCACAGCTTGCTACGGCTGCAGTGCCCATCTTTGATGGCCAGCTGTCTGCCATTGCTGCCGAGCTGGAGGGACGTGACCCTGAGGAGTGCCAGATCCAGGTACGCGGATAGAACGCGCAGGATGCTTGAAGTGCCGCCACGGTCGATGGGCCCGCACTGTGCTGGTGCCCTGCCCGATGCGCCTGAAACTGAATCACTGACTGGCGAGCTGGGTTTGCAGTCGCGCATCTACAACCTGCGCGAGACCAAGGTGATCCGAGACCTGAACCCCGCCGACATCAACAAGCTGATCAGCGTCAGCGGCATGGTCACGCGCACCTCGGGCGTCATCCCTGACCAGAGGTGCTTTGCGAGGGCAGGGCAAGCAAGACATTTCGAGGGAGATGGGAGGGAGGCGAGCAAGCGGGTGCAGCCTGGATACGGCTAGCCCGGGTTGCATTGCTTGCTTGCCTGCCAGTGTTCCTCCTGCATTGACACCAATGCCCCATTGCCGCCTTGCCTACAGTCTTGCGCTCTTCTGCTGCACCCAGTGCGGCAGCGAGGAGGTGTCGTGGAATGATCGCGGCAAAGTGAACGAGCCCAGCAAGTGCCCCAACCCCGCTTGCCAGGCCAAGTTCAGCATGCAGATGGTCTACAACCGCTCCTGCTTCCTGGACAAGCAGCTGATGAAAATGCAGGAGAACCCCAATGAGATCCCTGAGGGCGAGACGCCCCACACCGTGTCCATGTTTGCACGCCAGGTGTGTGGTGAGGGGGGCTGATGTGCAGTCTATGCTGTTTGCACCCAGACGCAGCGCGGTGGCGGCATCCATGCACCACCAACCTGGCCGGTACGTCACCTCATGCCCTCCCGCATGCAGGACCTGGTCGACCTGGCCAAGCCGGGTGACCGCATCACCGTGACGGGCGTGTACCGTGCCATGGGCGTGCGTACCAACCCACGCCTGCGGGAGCTCAAGGTGCGGGCCCTGGCAAGCAGGGAAGCCTGCCAGTTCTGCACCACTGAGCCGTGGCGACGCCATTTGTGAGGGTTTTCTGCGCAATTTGTACTCTCTCACACTGCATTGAACTGCAGAGCGTGTACAAAACCTACATCGACGTGGTTCACATCCAGAAGGATGAGGCATCCAACCTCTTCTCCATGTTTGCTGCCGAGGAGAGCCAGATGCAGGCCACTGCGCAGGAGCTGCTGAGCCAGACCGTGCAGCAGCGCAACCTGGCAGACGCTCCCAACACCCAGGTGGGGAGGTGGGACAGGGGAGGGCACAAAGGCGAATGCATACTAGGCACCTTTGCGAAGGGCAGACCCCTAAACATGCGACACCCACGGTTCTTTTTTGCTCGGAGTGCAGGATGCCGGCACCTTGCTGCACACTAGCAATATGACACGAGAGGAGATGGAGATAAAGCGCCACGCCTTTAGGGTGAGTGCGCTGCACCACCGCTGCTGCTGCACCGCCCGGACGGCCACCTGCAAGCCGCACCTGTTCCCTCATCTCCCGCCCGCTTGCCTGCCTCCTTCCAGGAGCTGGCTGCCGACCCCAACATCTATGCACGACTGGCAGCCTCCATTGCACCCTCCATTTGGCAGCTGGATGACGTGAAGAAGGGCATCCTCTGCCAGCTGTTTGGTGGCGTCAGCAAGGTGGGATGCTGTCAAGCAGCGTGGCACGTGCGAACCCCACAGTTGCCATATTGGAAGGACTGCTGTTTGGTCGCTCCATGCCCTGCAGATGCTGCCGGGCGCCAAGACCCGCGGCGAGATCAATGTGCTGCTGGTGGGCGATCCCGGCGTATCGAAGTCGCAGCTGCTCAGGTCTGTCAGCAGCCAAGCAGCCGCCACATTGGAGGCAATCCCATTGGAGGCAATCGCCCGGACATGTGCAGTCAACATACGTTGCTGCCTGCTGCTGCCTGCCACCTGCAGCTATGTGCATAAGCTGGCTCCCCGCGGCATCTACACCAGCGGCAAGGGCTCCTCGGCTGTTGGCCTGACAGCATACGTCACCAAGGCACGCTGCTACTTCTGCACTCCTGCCAGTGTGTCTGAACCACACAGTGTCCTGCTGCCATGAGTGCGAAGCCACCGTTCCTCATGGGTGCTGCTCTGGTGTAGGATCCCGAGACCAAGGAGATGGTGCTGGAGTCGGGTGCATTAGTGCTGTCTGACAAGGTGCGTCACATTCAGGAGCCTAAGGGCTTGGATGTGGATTGCTGCTGTGCCAACCTGGCTGTTGCTGCACTGATTGTGTCTGCAGGGTGTGTGTTGCATTGACGAGTTTGACAAGATGAGCGACGCAGCACGCAGCATGGTGAGTAGAATTATAGTAGGATAATGCACTCCCGCAGCTTTGGCATGTGCCGGGACGAGCGGCAGGCTTGACACGTGTGGCGCTGAGCAGCGGTCGAGCTTCCCATTCCCCACACGCAGCTGCATGAGGTGATGGAGCAGCAGACCATCAGTGTGGCAAAGGCGGGCATCATCGCAACACTCAATGCGCGCACCAGCGGTGAGGCAGGGCCACTGCACTTGTTGCAGAAACTCTCCCTCTGCTGCACACCCTTCTGTGACTTAGATGCTCACGGATTCCACCCGCTGCAGTGCTGGCATCTGCCAACCCGGTGGGCTCGCGCTACAACCCGCAACTGTCGGTGGTGGAGAACATCCAGCTGCCACCCTCGCTCATGTCGCGCTTCGACCTCATCTACCTGGTGGGGCTGGCTTCATTGGGGATCCATCCTTCACGAGGATTCCCGGACTGCCGATCTGCTGTGTTGTGATGCTAAGCAAAAAACTTTACGACTGCAGCTTCTGGATAAGGCCAACGAGGCCAGCGACCGCAAGCTTGCACGGCACCTGGTGTCCCTGTACGGCAATGGCGTGGGCCGGCTGGGCAACGAGGTGAACTCGTCGGCCTGCCTGCCTGCCTGCCTGCCCACATGTATGCTCAGCACATGTTCTACTTGGTTTCACACAGAGCACCCCCATTTCCCTACCCAACAGGCTGACATGATTCCCATGGACACCCTGCGCGACTACATTGCCTATGCGCGCGCTACCTGCTTCCCTACGCTGCAGCCCGAGGCAGCCAATGTGACTGTCTGCAGTGCCTGGCTGGCTGGGATTTTGCTGGCGCTTTCGGCGTCCGTGCTTCGCATCATGCGGCATTCTGAGCGTTTGTACCCTGCACCGCTTGCAGGCGCTGTCCCAGGCATACGTGGAGATGCGCAGCCTGGGCATGAGCAGAAAGGTGGGGATGGTGACTGGACTGCGCGGGGACGGACGTTGATTGTTGACACTGGTTGCCGTGGTTCCTTGCAGATTGTGTCGGCCACGCCGCGGCAGCTGGAATCCCTCATCCGCTTGTCAGGTGGGCGGCCAGCCCTCACTGCCCATCTCCTTAGCTAGCACCTGTGGCCAGATCCGCTTGCTTGAGCAAGGCTAGAGCAGCCTGCACACCCGTTGGCCCATGCTGCCCTGCAGAGGCCCAGGCACGCATGCGGCTGAGTGACAGCGTGACGGTGCAGGACGTGGGGGAGGCGGTGCGGCTGATGCAGGTGGCCATGCAGCAGTCGAGCGTGGACCCCCGCACCGGCCAGATCGACATGGATCTACTGATGGGAGGCGTGTCTGCCGCCGACCGTGCCATGAAAGCCCAGCTGACGGGAGAGCTGCGCGCTCTGCTGGAGCAAAAGGCAAGGCGTGGCAGCAAGCCGGCGTGCCTGAGCTCTGCGGATGTTGATCACCAGGGGGGGCGGATGTTGGTCACCATGGCATGTCAGCCTTGCGTGGGCTGCTGGATTGTCTGGATGCAAGTATGCATCCCACAGCCTCCCTGCGCCGCACCTCGTCCGTTGCAGGCGGGCCCCAACGGCCTGCGCATCGCCGACGTGCTGGACAGCATCAATGCCCAGAGCAGCGTGCGCGTGAGCGAGCGCGACCTGCGGCAGGCGCTGAATGAGCTGGTGCGCCTGGGTGGTGGTGGGCATGGTGGCGTCTGGGTTTGTAGGGCCAACCCAGTGAGAACTGGGACCCAGTTTCTGTTTTGCAGGAGGACGTTGCCCGGGTGCAGCAGGGCGTGGTGATGCTGCGGGCATAGCAGAACCCAGTGGATTCCAGTGGAGGGGCGCCAGTTCCTTGCTGCACAGCTTGTGGCCGATGGAAGCAGGAATCGGGGTCCGCCAAATGAGGTCGCAGAGGACATGTAGTCGTAGAGGAGGAGGTGATTTACAACACTAACGTAATGTACAAAAAGAAACCTTCTTCAAGCAACATGAAAAACAGACGCAAAATTGGAGAGAACGTTGAGCTGGAGGGCTGCATTGGCACAGCGCAGCACAGCTCCTCAGCACAGCTCCTGCCTCTGGGGATCTCGCAGCCGCGCCCACTTCACCAATCGCCCTCCGTCAAGCCCCGCCGCAGGCTGGCCTGCTGCTCGCGGGTGAAGCCAATGTAATGCATGTACTCGCGCATGCCGCCATACCGCTCCTTGCAATACTGCAGCAAGCCGCGCATGGCCTCTGGGGGTGCCGCGGCAAACACCTTCTCGTCCATGCCCCTGAGGTCACTCTGCTTCTCGATGCCACCCAGCGCCACCTCGTGCACGCCGTCCGACCTGCAGGTTTGTGCGGTCAGCTCAGGGTACCTCTTTCCTGCTCAGCCAGCTGGGAGTCTGCATGGGCTTGGCCCCGTTGCAAGGGAGCATCCCTACCTGACATAGTCGGCCACGATTTCCTCCTCGCTCACACAGCACGCAGACAGCACCAGCGCCGCCATGAGGCCCGTGCGATCCTTGCCCAGCTGTGGTGGTGGACATGGCGGCTAGATCAGGCTGTGAGACTGGCTTTGAAAGCCAGGCAGGATTGGGGGGCCCCTGTCTGGCATGGCCATATGCTTACCTTGCAGAAGAACATGCAGGGCCGCTGTTGCTCCAGGGAGGAGGTTATCAGCTGCAGCGGGGAAGCACATGACAAAGGGGAGGTGCGTATCCAGATGCCTATGGCAAACCTCAGGTGTACATGTAGTACAGCTTGGCAGGCGTGGCGTGGCACACAGCTGCACACCCCAGATGATGCAACACTTGAACCCTGGATGCACTCGCCTGCAGTGACCTGGCAATGTGCGCCTGCGACGTGTCCACCAGGATCTGGTAGATGAGCAGCAGCCCACCCCGATTGATCTCCCTGCAGGCAGGCGCGGCAGCCAGGCATCAGCGTGGCATGGCAGCCCAACAACGCAGGAAACAAAGGCAGCCAGGCGGCGCTTACGGTACGAGCGTGTCCCGCATCGACTCCTCGTTCCCCGTCAGCTTGTAGAATCCGGCCCAGAGCAGCTTGGAAATGGGCAGCTTGCTGCAGCAAGATGGAGCATGGTGTATGCTTTCAAGCAACCAAGAACTGCCAACTGTACCAACTGCAACTGAAGCCGGCAGGAGGCGGGCCTTCTGGCAGCCCGATTGCTGCCCTGCACTGCCTCACGCGCTGACCTCATCATGCCCCGGATGACGCGGCTGCGCTCCAGCAGCGATAGGCGATGCAGCTGAATGTCTTCCAGGTCTACGCCGTGCAGCGCCGCATTGTGGTCTACGACCACCTGTGCTTGTGCCGCCCAGCATAGAAGTCACAAAGAGAGCACGTTTGGCCCAGCTGATACATCAACCGTGGGCCAGCAACAGCAGGTTCACCCAGTAAGGTCTCTGTCCCACCCAGGCCCCACCTCTGTCACGGTGCCGCTCGAGTCGTAGGTTCTAATGACGCCGTTGCTCAGCATCAGTGACCAGGCGGTGTCCTCTTTGAGCTCATCCGCTGATCTGGATGTGGACAACATGGCACGGAGGGTGGGGCACGTGGGACGAGTGGAGAGCTGACAACAGCGGTCAGGCTTCCCACCCACCTGAAGTCTATCATCTGCTGCACCCGCAGCTCCTTGCGCAGCAGCATCACATCCTCCTGTGATGCACGAGCCGGGCTCCCGGAGCGAAACAGGCGGCCTGCGACGCATGGCAGGTGGATGTCAAACAGCCCCAGCCATGTACCGAGAACAGCCACCTGTGCACCTGGTTTGAGCTGGGGGGACGCCTCTGCCAGGTCCCTAGCATTAAGGATGTGTGTCAAAGTGCTGAGGTGCACGGCGGAAGGGGAGCGGTGCGTCGAGGCGGCTGCATGGGCGCCCTCCAGGGCGGCGCTGCTCATCCCGCCGCCGGCGCCGCCACCGCCGCGCTGTGTCCTGGCGTCCAGCTGGGGCTGCTGCCTATCAGCAGGCTGTGTGCAACCCAGCAGCCCTCTCTTCTGCGGGCTGCCGAGCCTCACGAGCGTGGCCAGGCGTCTGCAGGCAGCTGCGGCAGCGGTCATGCGCACCCCCAATTGGAGCTATGTGCGTCGGCTGAAACAGGAGGTGCAGTTTGGCTCGAGGCGGTACATCTGACAAGACTGGCGCTTCGCATCGTCGCAATGCGCTTTTTATGGTGCTCACATAATAAACAACCACGATGGCCAAAGCTTCAAAGGCCACGCGAAAGTTTAAGGCGAAAGGCCACCTCAATTCGGCCATCAGGCAACGCAAAACAGTGCAGAAGATAAAGAGAGCGCGCCAGCAACAGGAGGCGGGGAGAGGCAAGCCGCTGCATGCATGCCCACGCCCATTGGCGGCATGCAGACAGAGGGCTTTGCGAGAAGGCCTTACACGGCTCCATGCAGATGGGGAAGGAGAATACCCCCCATTGGACCACCTCCCCCCACTCATCCCCCTGCAGCCAGCAAGAGACGCAAGGCGGGGGCGGCCGGCGGCGATGAGGGGCAGCAGGCCGACCAGCCCGCGAAGGCCCTGGAGGACATGTCCATCGACGAGTTCCTGGCCGGCGGTTTCCTGGAGGCGCAGCCCCCCGCTGGTGGTGGTGTGGGTGCTGGCCCGCCTTCTGACGACGGTGAGCCGCCGTGGAAGATCAAGTGGAAAGCCGTGTGTCTATGTGTCCAGTTGTATGTATGCACAGTAAACCGTCTGCTGATTGCAGCTTGCATTGCACCCCATGTTGCGCTACTGCAGACAATGAGCTGTTGGACGGCGATGCGGCGCTAGACAGTGATTTGGGCAGCGGCAGCAGCGGTGAGGATGAGCCTCGAGTAGCCGTGCCCACACTGGCCAGCAACAAGCGGGGCAAGCGGCAGGCAGCTCAGGCTGCAGCGGGCAGGAGGAGCAAGCAGGCAGAAGAGCAGCGGCAGCAGTCAGTAACGCCGTCAGACAGCGAGGGTGACAAGGAGGAGGGAAGTGAGGGCGAGGGCGAGAGCGGAGGTGACAGCGGCAGCAGCAGCGATGGGGAGCAAGATGAGGATGCAGCCGAGCATGGAATGGCTGGCGGCGGCAAGGCGGTGCTCAAGGCTGAGATGGCTGCACACAAGTCGCAATTGGAGGCGCTGAAGCAGCAGGATCCCGAGTTCTACGCCTACTTGCAGGTGAGACTGACTGTGTAATCCAATGCCTGGCCTGAATGCTGGCCAGGAACATTCCTCAATATCAATTTTTGACGCTTTGAACATCGCATGTGTTGTCCTCCACCGCTTCGCATTGCAGTCCACCGACCAGGAGCTGCTCAATTTCGGCCAGGAATCGGAGGATGAGCTGGACAGCGATGAGGAGGTCGAGGAGGGTGGAGAGGGGCCAGCAGGCGAGGGCGAACAGGGGCTGGCTGAATACGGCCAGCAGCAGAAATTGGGTGGTGTCACCTTGGCCATGGTGGAGGGCTGGTGCCAGGCGGCGCGCGACAATGCCAGCATTGGTGCAGTGCGCAACATCATGAAGGTGCGTCAGCCCGCCCGCGATTGTGCTGGTTGACCCCCCCCCCCCCCCATTG